CTTTTCATAAAAGCAGAGGCAGACCAGAACTTGTGGGGCACCACATTCTGTTGCGCTGCTCAAGGAGAGATTGAAAAAACTTGTCGTCAATGCAGGCAGTTATAGGACAGAAAACTCATTAACTAAAACACCCTGATTCCGTTCTTTTTTTAAAGAAGGGAAACTGCGTAAAGATCTGACTCAGGCAAAATGAAAGTCCGGGGAGGGTGTCCGCGTGGCTTCTACACCAGAGGGAATTAACTGGTGATCAAGTCCCCGGCAAAACACTTCGCTAATCAGTAATTATAAACAGTTTACCTAGACGTAAGTAGCCACACAGCCGACTGCTGTTACAAAAAACAGCGGTGCTGACTTAATAGCCGATGGCCAAATTGATGTTGGTGTCCATAATCTCGAACTTCTTCAAAAACCGTCCGTAACCAAAACATTCTGCCACAGTGGATACGGTGGTCACAAAAGGCAGGAGATGAACTTATTAATTTAACAGAGCGGTGTAACCGGTCACGTAGGCAGTACAGGCCCGTGTACTTCGCGTCTTCTGCTGGATGCGGCAGCTCTACCGTTGTCGCAAACAAGAAAGGAAAAGAAATTGCCTACGAGTGGGTTAAATTATCCTGTACGCGCTGCAAACTGAACACACGATATACATGCCCATTCAAGAGGACCTTTGAGAAAGTGCCATTTTTTTCATTAGAAAGCTTCATGCATATTTACTGCGGCAAATGTAACACTATGTACATGGGCATGGATTACTATGTTAAATTCTCAGCCATGCACGCTGTCCTAAGTTGATTTTGCTTGAAGAATAAACAACAGAAGTGGGGCTTACTGGCAGCCTTAACGAGCTCGGAATGCAGAGCAGAAGTGGGTGGGGAGGCGTCCTGTAGCCGGAGAGAGGAGTTTCCCGAGGTCGAGGAGGAGGCCGTGGTAGACCGGCTGACGGAGGAGTTGTCGGACGGAGCGCTGACGGAAGCGGGACGCTGCTGCTGCTGATTCATTTGTAGTCTCTGCTGTTGCTGTTGGAGAGCCACGTCGTAGAAGTTGGAGGGTGGCATCAGCCCGCCGAAGGGATGGATCACCCCCATCGAACCCGGGGAGAGAAGGCCGCATACTCGATTGGACCTGTTCACCTGTAGGAAGAGATGGAGAACATCAACAGTTACTGATGGGGCTGGAGGAGACTGTGTCCTACTCCTCGAGGTCTTTCCAACAAGAGAGACTGGAATGGCCATTTCTGACTCATTAGCCGTCATCAGCTAACCATACCCTATTCCACTGATGATGACTCCAGAAGCTCGAACCTGCTCTAGCTACTGCTTCACAGGCTCGTTGCCTTGCCGATTTTCGATCGGGACTATGCACAGTGCCAGATAGGCGCACACTGATTGGTTACGGGACTCACTCGTCCCATTGTGCCTTGGGG